TCCTTTTAAACCCGTGCCCCGCTGGGGGTCCTGGATTTTCCACGCCCTCCACGCCCTGCTGGGGGGGGGGGGGGGGTTGAACACCCTCTTCTAACTCGGCTCCGGGCTATGTAGCGACACGGGAAAGCGGGCGTTCGAAAGAGCGTCAAAATAAGGAAGAAATTACTCCACTCACATTTTTTTTTTGGTCAGGTCAAAGGTTAGGTCACCCGTCACCAGAGGTCATTGAAGGCAAAAATTCGCCGATTTCCAGGTCAACTTTCGACAAATTTCAACTAATCAACGTACAGCTCGGAAACTAATAGGTCTACGGCGGCGCAGAAAAGCTCATTTGATAGCCCTAATACCTACCGGTCTTTCTGATTAAATCTCTCAGATTTGACCAATCGTCAACGGTTTGCCTGCAGAGGGCAGAACTGCCAAAATAAACAATTTTTTTCGGAAACAGTTTTCTGCAATAACTTTTCACTTAAACCTTGCACGAACTTTTATTTACAGGCATCGTGTTCCTCTCGTCAAGACGCATCGAATGAACTATCGACCATGGAAGGTCAACTTGAAAATTTGACCCCTGGTCAAGGTCATGACATGGCCGGTAAGGGTCATGCTGCTTACCAGTCGATTCGTATGGTCGAGCCGAACACATCTACAAGACAGACAGAAGCCATACAACAAGAAAACAATCACAAACACCTTGGAGTCATCTTTTCAACTGACAACCGTTTTCACGCGCATATAAACTCGATTATAAAAAAGGTCAACATTGCTTTGAGTCCACTTTACCCAATAGCCCGGATGACACCGAGAGAAGTCCTTAAACAAATTTACACAACATATATACTGCCACACTTCGACTACTGCGACGTGATATACGACGGACAAATAACAGTCACCGACGAAATCAGACTTGAAAGAACGCAAAACAGGGTAGCGAGACTAGTGACTGGTACAGACTTACGGACACCAACGGACGGACTCAGACGGGAACTAGGATGGACAAAACTCAAGACCAGACGTACCAAACACAAACTCATATTCTACAGAAAACTCTTACACGAACAAGAAACAATGCCCACCTACATAACAACTATGCTTCCCGACCTTAGACAAAATGCAACAAACCGGACATTACGCAACTCAAACACTCATACATTACCAATCCATCGAACCCTATCCTTTAAAAGATCCTTCATCCCAGACACGACCAGACTATGGAACAACCTTCCCGAATCAATCCGCTCTCTTCCTACCCTCAAATCATTTAAAGCAGCTCTCGAGCAACACCTAGGCACTGAAAAACCACCTCCATATCTCGCCTTCGGAAGCCGAGAAGGCAATCGTTTACACACCCAACTACGCCTCAATATGTCCATCCTGAACGCTCACCAATATAAAATCCAAAAATGTCCCACTCCCCACTGCGCTTGCGGCTATCACTCAGAAGATACACCACACTTCATACTTAGATGCCCACTCTACCAACAACACCGAACACAGCTATTCACAATCATATCAACCACTCTAGGACACGAATTCACAACACTAGATCATCAAACACAGTTAGACATACTACTGTATGGTGAGGGCCTCGACACCGGCAGCGGCCTCAGAGTTGCCTCTGAGTTCCAAAAATTTATCTTCAGTACAAGACGGTTCAACAATTAAATCGTCCCCAGACCAGCCAGTGGCACAACAAAAATGTAATCACTCGCATCAGTAATAACTAGTGGTGTCAATCGGTTACCAATATTTCGGTATACCGATACCGAACCAATACCGATTCGGTATTCGGTATTTTATACCAAAAGCATTTGGTATTTTGTCGGTATTATGAAAGTCAACTACTGTCATAAAAAACAAATTGAAAACATTTTTGATAAACCTTCTGAACTCAAATTTGATTTGCGAAATGACATTGGATGAAGAAAAAGGACAATCATGACACATTTCTCCCAAATGCATGATGTCATAACAAATGAGCAAACATGTTAACTGTAACATCAAACACATCAGTCTACCAATGTTAAATGGCAACTTATCAGTGCTAGCAAATTAAATTCCAATACCATGAGGATAATTATATTACAAAAAGCTAATGTGCAAGACATAAACATGTATCAATGTTAAACTCACTGTATACTGGAAAACATACTTTAACTACCTTAGGTACTCAAAATTTCCAAAGCTTTCATTAGAAACAAATTTGACTTTGTTTTGATGAGTCTGTGATTGATCTTGACCTTGTCTTGCTCTCCATTTCACTGCAATGCAGTTACATTATCCAAAAGTCAAAACCCTGTTTTTTATAGCACTAGCTTCACCATTATCATCTAATATTGAAGGCAGCATTTATCACTTCATCATCACCCAACAAATTCTCAACTTCGCTCAACTTCAAAAAGGTCCTGTGGATAATTTATTTTCTTTAATTAGTGTTCTCTTTCCTGCTCTCCTCAACAGATAGAAATCGCTAGCAATGTAATCAAAAGCATTCCTAAAATATAATTGGGTCTTGGCTTGATTCGCAAATAGCAGTTTAAAAACTGAACACATGTAAGAACTTTTAAATGTCGCAGCTGCGCCAAAACCCGATGTAGCTCTATAACTATATAATTGAAAATAATTGAGCAAATTTGTTTTTCTGGTTCTTCATTTTTTAGCAATAGCGGCCTACAATCTTTCTTGAATTAATTTTAATATACCAAAATATGAACATCATATTTTTAAATTAAGTGTACGAAGTGTAAAAAAAGGAAAACTTTATTTTATTCAGTTCCGTTCGTTTCGTAACTAAATGCAAATGGCCGCCGCCTGCAAGGCTGCCATTGTGGAAGAGGTGCGACGTGACACGTGTTAATGATTCTGTAAAATTATGTACATTTCACTTAGCTTTCATCGCGATATCATTACAGTGGTGTCTGCTATCTATCAGTGTGCCTCGTAAGTAATTATTTATCAAGATTTGTTGTGTTAAACGTTTGTTTATGATGAAAAATTGGCTGCGTCACTATCGTCACCATCGCCACTTGAGTTGAACTGTAGGTATAATGGATTTCGTTTACATTAATGGTGTAGCCCAGCCCATCACTGTCATTTGGTTACCATTTTTGGATCATGATAACACACGTAACCCTGTCTTGACTGGACTCAAATTGAATGACTTTAATGGAAAGGACGTTTTATGGTTCAGGCATGGATGAGATTCAGGGTAAAAGTTCTTGTCCTATCACCTCATGCAGATGACTTGAATCCACATCCCAGTTAAGTAACTGACCTGAATATTTGTAATAGTTACACAATACAGTTATTTTTTTTGCATTGCAAATAATTTAGAGATTTCCTGACTTTTTGTTGCCTTATTTCAAAGTATTACCTTTCAATGCTTATCATTTGTTTTGAGAAAGTTTGAAGCATTTGTTTGATGATTCCCTGAATTCGGTACGTAGTCGGTATTTCACCCTATTTCTGAAAATCGGTTCGGTTTTGGTATACTCTCAGTGATTTTGGTCGGTATCGGTTTGGTATTGGTTTCCAAAATTTCTGAAATTGACATCACTAGTAATAACATCCATCATTAACACATCCGGTGGTGTTCTTTCCTTTCTGTTGTATGTGCTGTATGTTTTGTTCAAGCTCGACTTCAGCTTCGTTCGTTTTTTTTTTTCAGGAAAGGTGCTTTAATTTAAGCCGGTAGGCTTCTGCACCGATCCTTTGTGTCACTGATTTCTGATGTTTTCTATTTCTTACTTACTTCCCATGTGACGCAAAAAATATATGATGATGATGATGATGATGATGATCTAAGGTGTTTTCTTCGCTCTAGCATGCCTCTATCAATAGTTATTTGCGAAAAACTGTCAGCTACCATTCGTGACCTGAGATGACCCCGGGGCATAAAAGGGGTCATGGGTGCCATTTTCATGTTCAGTGTGTCAAAGTTACTTGTAAATCAGTGTTTGAGACTTGAGAGTGTTTATAATGGCTTTCGTCCAAAACAGGAACCTTTTTTGAAGTCAATTTTCTCTCATTGACATAGGATAGAGAGGTCGCAAAATTGATCTGACCCTAGGTCACCGATATCGAAATTCTGAGATATACATTTTGTACAAACTGCTGTTTCTATCAATCGCTAAAAGTTTCAAAGCGGTCGGTCACTCGATATAGCTATGGCAGACAGTGAAACTGTTCATGTAGTGATGTCACTTGACGTAACCTGGCAACCTGACCTTAGGTGAACTAGGTCTGAAAATTGTACATGTGCAGAAAAGACGTATGAAAAACGGCGGCGCTCCGTGCCGCCGTTTTTGAGATATTTGCGAAAAACCACAAAGGGGGTGTTCAAACCCACCCCCGCAGCAGGGCGCGGATTAATAGGCTCCATTCTGGCAAAAAAAAGAACAGTAATGATTTCAGACTGGTGTTTGATTCATCTGTGATTGAATCGATTGGATTGAATCAAACAAAATTTGTTGAATCAAAAATGTTTGATTCACCGTCAGGATTGTTTGATTCACAAGCCATGATTGAATCAAACGCATTGGGAATCAGGGTTGATTGAATCAAAAAAATTAATGATTCATGAACTTTAAAAAAATTGAAGTGAACGAACATAGTTCATTATCAACAAATGTTAACACTACTGCCATTACATGACAACAAAAAGAACACAACAAATACAATACTATCCCTGATATTTTGTATATTTTATTTTTTTAATTGAATCAAAAAAGAATCATTCAAAAAAAAATTGGCTGAATCAAACGTGAATCATTCCTTTTATTGTTTTTTGATTCTCTGAATCAAAAGGAATTGATTCACCAATTTTTTTGAAGGAATCAAACGGTGATTGAATCAAACAAAAATCAAATGAATCAATGATTGAATCGATCCAAAAAAGGTGAATCAAAAACCAGTCTGAATGATTTGCATTTTTAATGAATAAGAATTAAAGTTAACTTGGTTTCTATGCATGAGTGAGAGAAGTCTCCCGACTCCCGTATCCAACATTTCTCCCTAGCACCGTTTTCCCAGTAGGTAATATGTAAAATAGATCAATGTAGAAAACCTAGTAATCTGCATAAGCTTCTTTTCAACAGAGACCTTCTCGGATTTCAAAAGAACGATTCGATCGTCGTAGCTCGCTCACCATCCACTTAAGTCATTCGGCATCAAGATCGCATCTTCGGCCTCTGTATGCCTTCATCCGACAAATCTGGGCCCCACTGGCAGCCGGACTCATTTGCCGTCCCCACCAGTGAGTGGGTAAGTATCGCCAAGTTAAGAGCGTGCCAAGTTGCCGGGGTGGGCGGCGCGGCGGTGGGCGGCCGCGCAGCCCTGCAGGCCCGGCCGGTGACCAGCCGCGGGTCGGAATTCCCCTGGTGCGCTGGTGGCTCGCGCTGCGACCGGCTTCATTCCGACCCGCCGCTCGGACCGGGTGGCACGTGCTCCCTGCGCTCTCCACACCTCCGCCAGCATGAGGATACTCGCTGTGGTAAGTACCAAACACCGAACTGAGGTTCACTGGTTTGCGCCAGTCAGTTAGGCTGATACCTGCTGCTGCGGCAAAGGAGAGCGAATCTTGTGACAGGGCAATCACAATGGTGTGAGCGACGCCCCATCAAAATGTTGCTCTATGCATTTGGTTTTTGATAGCTGGCTCCTAATTGAGTCAACAGCCCGCTAATATCCCATTTCCAATAGATATGCTGGGAACGGCGTTAACGGATTTCGACTCATCCGACCTTGCAACTGACATTTTTTTGCATAAGCAATGAGCTCTGGCAGGCTGCGAAGCAGTAGGTATTTCTAAGCGGTTTTTGGTGTCCACTACGCAGTCTACCGTTTATCATTGACTATATGCTGGCTTGCTGCAAATCAAGTTTGAATTAATGAAAAGCTTTTTTGCATCTTTCATAGACACTTTTTCAGTGGTCATACGAAAAGTTGACCTGCTGCTCAAAGACCTGTGAGACTGTCATGGCCTGACAAATCGGCGCGATATAATACAGCGATGAAAGCTACATTTCCTCAACGTTAAACAGCGCTTCCGCCTACTTTACCTTCCCGTTTAATTCTTAATTCAATATGACATTTTTAGGCACTAACTGTCAACCAGGAAACATCAGTTTTCCGTGGGATAAACCCATGCAAGCATCTTTCAGTCCGAATGATGCGCGGTAAATTTGCTACACATCCTGCAAGTATTTACAATTTTGCATCGAAAACCAAGCTAAAAAGCTCAACAGTCTAAGTAGCAGAATTTAAGCATGCAGCCACTTATTATCTTTCGCTTTTTACTCGAAAATCCATTTTCTGATTGTATCGTTCATGGTGTAGGGCACGAGTAAAGACAAGGTCCAGAATATTGTAATTTGTAACTGTGGCTTACGTTTATTTCTCATTTAGCTCAGCATTTATTTAAAATTTCAACCGCAGCCAACTATCAAAAACACGAAAATGACCGTGGCCAACTATAACAACTGAATCTGATGTGCGCCATTAGGCTAGCCGTAGCTGATACGAAAATATTGTTTGGCGAGGGCATGGATGAGGTAATAATGGATTGGTGTCTTCGCAGTTTTTGGCGACATTGAGCTCAGGCCTGCCATCTAGCGGGAGAATTATCGTAAGTTAGGAGCAAGCCGAGTGAACGCCGCTGATTAGCATTGTGACACACGGGAGTGTGGTGTAGTAGCAGGCTTGTTGTGCAATTTTTCAAAAGGTTATGTCTTTATATGTCAGTAAAAGCGAAGAAATTTATAGATTTATATGCAGGGTCAGTAATAAGATAAGCAGTTACATGTTATTTCTTCATTAAATAGTGAAACAGGGAGTTATTGGAGACCTCGCCAGCACGTGTCGTTTTCGCTATTTTTCACATGAGTCTTAAGGTACTTGGCCTAAATCAAACAAATTGTCCGATCAAAGAACAAAACGAACGTAAGTACTATCTATAAGTCTAATGAAAAAGTTAAACGGAATTGCTAACGTCATTGCCGCTCAATATGTCATTCAAGACGCTCTATGAAAAGGACCCAACCAGTGCTGCGTAGTCGATGAAATTTCAGTGACTTTGGCTCCAACTCCGATTCCGGTATCCAAATATCGACTCCGACTCCTCCGGGCAGAACTGTCGATTCACACAGACTCCGACTCTGACTCCGACTCTGCAGCCCTGGTAAGTCTGTGGAGTCGATGATTTTTCGGTGACGTTCGACTCATACGGCGACTACAGCTTTTAAAAATCAACCGACTCCGAGTCCGAACAGAAACGCTGGCTCTGACTACAACTCCGCATCCCTGGCCCAAGATAGCCGCCTAAAACAACTTTGGTGTGTGATCTTCTTCGTACATTGTTTGTTAATGTTATTTTAAACAAGGAATGGAAAAGGGAGACGAAACCTTCACAAACAAGGATCTTTCCTGTTGCGGATCAATCAGCTGCTGGAACAGAAAGGCATAAACACCACGCATCTCATTTCATCGTTTTCCTAATGATTCTGCACCAATGTAAGCATTGATCAATGCAGTGCGAGCATCGATGTGACATTTGTGTATGTACCAACTTTGAGTGTTATCCGCCCAACCGTTCTTGAGCTATGGAAGCGGCATCCCGCACGTGCGCACGTGCAGTAGCACCCCCACAGTGACACATGGAAATGCATTGGCCACTGGGTGCCTAACTATTGACGAAGTTATACTGTAATGGGCCCAGCCATTGCGGAGTTACTTTATGTGGAACAATTTCGACACCCCTAAGTTGGCACGTTGCATGTGCCGTAACATTAACTAAGATGAAGAAAATCGGGCCGGAAATTCGGAGGAGAAGGAATAAGCCTACCAAATATGTATGACATATTTGTCAAACTGCTGTACCATTGTGAGTAAATGGCCATATAAAAGGTCGTACAAGCCAATGGGACTGGGCGTTTCAATACACACCGTCTTACGCATTTTATTTTCGTTATTACCTAAAGCTGCTTGACGTTTTTGGCTTTCAAGCATTTAATACATTTTTTGTCGTCTCAGGTCCAGTAAGATTACCTCCAACTCTTGGGAATATGCACTTTAAGCCAACTAACACACCACACCTACGTGTGTCATAATGCTGAGAGATGGCGTTCACCTGGCTTGCTCCTAACTTACGATAATTCTCTCGCTAGATGGCAGGCCTGATCCCAATGTCGCGGATCCCAATGTTAATTTCCACGAGACACCAATCCAGTGTTATATCATCCATGGCGAGGGTGAAGCGTCTGATAATCTGTGAAGTAAGAATATAGGAAATGAAGTTATTATGTTCTCATTGACTAATAATTCAACTGATGCGTTCCGCCTGATTTTGGTGAGCACATATTGGCGAGCTTTAATTTATGCTGTAGTTATTAAGTTCAGTTTCCTTTTAATGCAATGAGATCCTGAAACGTTTGCTTTTTATAAATATGCCAATTGTTACTATTCAATTACCTATCAAACATCAAAACTAAACGTCAACCTTGTATCATGCATTCAATTCGCTAAATACTGTTTCGAATTTTGATTTGAAAAGTTCTAATAATACAGCTTTTTTATGACCGTTCAAGCTGTGTATTAGCAACTTATTAATTTTTGCTATAGGAGTTCATCTGCAACTTTTTCCTGTAAATTATACTTTTGTATTTTAGTGCTCTGACTTGAGTGCTTATGCGCCCATATTTCTTTTTAATTATAGAAACGAAACTCGAGCCTTATATGTGTGTACCTAGATCAGGCACTTTTTGGCATTTATGACATTTAGGTACATTTACAATTGCTATGATGAAAGATTGAGAAAAACGACGAGACTAGCTGAAAAGCTCACAAACGCATATCATGCTGTCTTGTGTTACGTATTTTAATGACATGTATTTCATTTACATCGAGTCGAAAAATACCTTAACTCATTGTAAACTGTTTAACAAAATGATATTTACTACAATATTAATGATTGTAGTGCATTAATACTCCTTTGGAGTTTAAAAAGTCGGTTGTCCTATTTTTTTAAATGGTGTAATGGATTTAAGACAAATGCAAGACTATTCACGGATAATATAACACGAATGGCAATTAGCTTGACCGTCACGCGGAGTGATCGTTGAGAACGGGATCTTTTTGTTTTCTAGCCCACCGCTTTCACCATGACTTGCACTTCTCAACCCAAAATTTAATCCCAACAACGGTTCTTTATTTATGCACGATTCTTTATGTTTTCCGACATGTTTACGTGTGTCGGATAAATTATGTCTTAGCTTAGCTTCTTTCGATGCTTGTTCTTTTTGCATCTGCCTTACGTAGACGATACAGGTGCGTTTTGCTATATTAGACTCAAATTGATGTTTCATGCTATTTATTTCCCACGCATATGTATATATGTAGTATTATTTTATACCGTGTGTTGTGCGTATTTTATAACTATCCAAAGAAAAATAACACTTTGAGATTCAGATTGCTGCTTCACTGATATATATTGCGATGCGTCTATGAGCTAAGAGCTCATACCACAAGAGCTCAGCCATGCTGACCTCCTCCCCCTGACTGTGCCATTTTGACTGGTGACTGGTGGCGTCCACAGTCCTGTCAATCCAAACAGAACAGTTTTACTGTGAAGTTAAGCTGGCCGTGAACGCTTTTATCGCGCTGGACAGTTGCTCCGGTTCTAAGAGCTTCTTATGGCAGTCGCATATCACATAGCATTTCTAGCCGCTGGCATTACCTCTCAGCTGGTGTGCAGTGACGTCGTCATGCCGTGAGCATCGACCTTTGCTGTGCTGTATTGACCTTGGCACCTTCTTCCGTCCCACAGTGACCTCTAAATCCCCTCCTCGTGGGTCAATAGACAGTGTCCTGCCCTGACCCTGGCCCCCTTTATTGTCTTACAGTGACCCCTGACCCGACTTCTCCCCGCTCGGATCGACAGGCAGTGCTGGTAGTCCTACCCTGACCTCCTCTGTCGTCCTTACAGTGACCCCTGACCCGGCCTCTCCCGCCCGGTCGACAGGCAGTGCTGGTGGTCCTGACCTGACCTCTGTCGTCCCTACAGTGACCCCTGACCCTCCCTCTCCCGCCCGGTCGACAGGCAGTGCTGGTGGCGCTGGCAGCCGCCGCCGAGGAGGAACCCAAACGCGAGAAGCGTCAGATTGTGTTCGGCGGCAGCGCGTTCAGCAGTCCGAGCCCGCACACCCGAGGTACCCCGTACGCCGTGTCGCACGGCAGCTTTAACCTGGGCGCCGCGCCCGGCTATTCCGCCACCGCTAACCCGTATGTCGACTACGCTTGGAACAGCTTCAGCAGCGCGCTGCGTGTGCCGTACGGGCCGGCGGCGTACGCGCGGCCCGTCGTCGGCTACCCGCAGCCGGAGAGCCCGCCAGCCGGCTACGAGTACGGTGTAAAGATCGCCCACCAGCCGGTGGTGGCGTACGCGCCCGCCGAGGCTAGCTATGGCACGCCATGTAAGTGACGCTTCTTCTGCTGTCCTGTCGCCCCGCTCGAGTTCCGACAACACAAAATACTTCACACTCAACACCGCGCATAAGCCTGCATCAATCAACAAAGCATAAGGGCTATAATCCAGTCTTGTCTCTCCACGCGCGTCACTCTGTGTGGGTGAGTCGGGCACACCAGTGAGTCGGACTCAACAGTGAGTCGGCATGTCCTGACCGAGCTACAAGGCCGCGTACCAACAGGAGCGAGACGGCGCTGCACTCAACACTGAATATTTGCCGCCAGCCTTGAGACTTGACACCAAAACGTGCGATCAACCCGGTCAAGGACCCACGTATATGGTTTTACGGTGTGCACATTGTCAAATTACTGTATGCCTGGCCTATTCAAATACATTAGCCGGAGGGGTGTGGTAATAACTGGTGTAAGCAAATTGACCACGGTCAAAAATGCATTACCAGTTTGCACTTAAGCCAACATTTTGGGATGGTCTCGTTCCTAAGTCGGCTAAGAGCTTCGGTCCAGAACATAAATTTATCGTTGGCATACAGTAAAATACATACCAAACTCGGCCGGTGATAAATTTTCAAGACCTCAGTCCTTACTGATTTTTGAACTCGGCCTTCGGCCTCGTTCAAAAATCCAGTAAGGACCTCGGTCTTGAAAATTTATTTACACCGGCCTCGTTCAGTATTATATATTACCGTTGAGGCAATGCGCAGTATCCAGGCAGTAGGCACGGGCCATGCATCACCCCATTCAGCCGGTGTTTCAGCAGCCGTAAATGCTGGACACGGGGCGTTCGTGAGTCATCACCTGTGCCGCTGGCGCGCTCCGCAGACACGACATGGAAATACGGCCGGGTCGTGACCGTCCCCGGTCGGTCCACCGGCCACAGTGTGGCATATGGTGCGGCGCAGCCCCTCGTGGCAGCGCTCAGTCACAGGGCAGCGCTCAGTCACAGGGCACCACTATGGTGCCTCACTGCCCCATACACGGGTGGCACACCGCGGGCGCCAGCGGGGGGACACGGGCTTTCTGTCACCCGTGGGGTTCCGTGGGCCGGGCCAGGTCACGCGGCGTGTCAGGCCGCGAGCCTGTGTCCGCGCCAAATACGGCATCAGACGCCGGGGAAGGGCTCTGGATTCGCTCCGACCCAGCCGACGGTCATACACGAAACTGGACCAAACAGGACAGCGGGAGACAAATTTAGACACGATCAACTGCTGCGCTACTTTGAGGCTCCATATTCGGGGACACATCACTGATGATAGGATAGCACATAAATCCCACCATCAAAGCTCCGCGCGACACGAGTAAATAATGCAACTGCTTTTCTTTGTAAAATATTTCAAATTCATTGCTACAAAAAGCAGGTGCATAGCTGCACTTATTTAGTGCATAACTGCACTAAAAAGTACACGAAAATATACAACTTTCTTTCGCATCAATGATATGCACCATAACACTTGCAACTCGAGCGGGGCTCCTTTATCTTACTATTCTCTTCTTGTATGCATGCTATAAATATAGTCGACGCTAAACAAACTTTGCACTTTTTCATCTCATCACTAGATTCCAAATTCTAGCAGACTAGTTTTGGTTGTTCTTTTATTCTCTCTATGCATCGCCTGAAGATTTAGTGATTTTGGTCCGAACTGCGAATGGTTCAGCGTTTTAAAATGAATTAAGTGCGAAGTTTGTTTGCCGGTTTTTTTGTTGTTGTACATGCTTCAGCTTTGTATACGTGGAAATATGCTGACTGCTATTGATTTATGATGTGCAGCAAAAGAAAAAGATCAAAAATTGTTATGATATAGGTAATTGACACTTAAAATTATCACGTATACAGGAAAAAGACCATAAGAAACTAAAATATTGTGCAAGTCAATACAACAAAAAGACGAAAACTTGCACCATTATGACTTAGATCAATTGCAATAAATTATAAAACATACATTTTTTGCATCATGGCTTCTTTCTGCCTGTGGCCTCCATTGTTAAAATCAATAAATGCATGCAACCAATCATTTTAAAACTGTGATAGTCATCGTAATTGATCGAACGTCTCGGCATTTTGTTGCACACTATAAATCAAATAAGTTCAGACGTATCTTGCATTTGCTGTCATCAGCTTCTGATAGTGATTGGCTTTTCGCTCTGTGTTTGCTGTTTATACGACCCCACCTGTATATCGTAAACGTTGTAATTAAGCACCCACCACTCCTTTTCTGTTGTAAATGTGGCTATGCTTCCTACCGTACATAGCTTATCGTCTCTTCGCTTTTCTGTGTCATATTCCCCCTAACTAACACTTCCATCCACTGTCTTGCCTCGATCTTGTCCCGATATTTTGAACCCCTGTTGGAATGAATCGCTGCAACGCTGTGAGTAAAACCTTTTCAACTTGATTTCTGATTGGGATGATGCGATGGGCTGTAAATTTTTCATCTTATTCTCCAGTATAGTGGCAAATCTATTGAATTAAGTTACATAGTTACAGCAAAGTATCTCCGTTATTAATCTCCGTTATTATATTATACTTCTCACTGATAGAAATGCGAGTTACGAAGATGTTTTGCCGTTGATGTGCACAGTGTCTGTCTGCCAGTCAGCCCACGGTGTCTTTAGTCAGTAAGTGGTTATGTAGCAGGTATAGGCATACCTATCGAGCTGTGGCGTTGTCCGTAGTCGCTGTCCTACCGGCAGACCACAGCTCCTCGGTCACCGCTGTGCCGACTGCGGGGCTGGGGTCCGCTGTGTCTGTAGTGTCGTACCTGTAGTGTAGTACCGGTAGTATGTAGTGTGGCGCCTGCAGTATGTGTAGTGTAGCGTCGGTAGTGTGCGTAGTGTCAGAGTATGAGAACGGCCGGCCGCGCGGACGGTGGATTTCAGACCGCGGCTCGCCGGCGGCGCAGTGCAGCAGCGGCGAGTGCTCGCCGCTGGTGTTCTGCTCGGGCATTGTCTCCGGCACCAGCCCCAAGACGACGGCTGCCGTCTGCGACCTGGGCGACGGCTCGACGGGCCTCTGCTGCCGCCGCGACCCCGTCCAAGGTGGGTCCCGCGCGGGCGCCGCCTCCGGGGATAGTGGGGGACGGTAGAGGGTCAGTGAGCGCCCCCCCCCCCACCCCCTGCGCGTCCGGTAGCGGACCGCGCTACGCATGCCTGGTGGAGGGATGTAGATTGTAGGTGGACGCTTTAGTCAGATATTTCAGCACATATAATCCGTAGTTATTAGTTATAGTGATTGTTTTCTTTTGTTTTGTATGATATGTTTCTGGCATCTCATGTTCAGTACCTAATCACTGCCAAACCGGAATTAGATACAAGGATATCGTTAGTAACAAAATCGTGCTTTTGATTTTTTAGCTCGTAAATCGAAGGCAACTAAAACTGTGGCGTTTCTGTATCTCCTCTCACTTGTACTTCAGTCAAAACGTATCGATTACCTTTGTACATTTAGACAAACCGATTCCTATTCAGGCTATCTGTATGAGCATTGTCTCCGAAACCAGATCGGATTTAGATTCTACGGCCTAATAGTTATGCGGGATGTCCCAGCTACGGCCTGATTTCTTTCCACTATGAACCACTTTATATGAAAGTGACGCTTTTCCTCTCGTTATCTGCTTGTAGTCCAATATGTCCCATTCCATGTATGTACGCGCTTTTGGCAGTTTAGTAGGGACTACATTGATTTACTTCGATAGCAAAGGCGGAAGTCCATATTTGTAGAAGACATGTTTCATCCGTCGAAAAATCGCCTTGTTCGGTTCCTGATAGTGAGGTGGTCAGGGAGCTTACATCACAGATAGCCCCAAAAAGCCTTCACAGTCGCAGACGGTAAAAAAGTCCAAAATAATTGTCGAGATCGGCAGTGTCTGGATTTTTCGCCGTAGTCAGGTGTGATGCTGACTCACGCCGGCTTCCGTCTTCAATAGAGCCTCGGCAGCGCGTCTGTGACACCGGGATGACCTCACTAATTGGACGTCATTCGTCGAAGGCGCACAAAGGGCGCGGATCGGCCGAGCCACGAACCGTGCGTCAGTGGGGGGTCAGACGGGTCACGGGTGACGCGTGATCCGCGGGACGGCGCCTTTGAACCTCTCGGCTGGTGCAGGACGGTTCCCAGCCCGGCGTCAGGGACAATGTCGTCTGTGACGCGCCGCCGACGACTGCCGTTCGTCGCCGCCCCTCCCGAACAGACGCAGCCTTGGGACATTGGGACGGCTGCGAGGCGCTCCCCCTTAGCTGCCGGCGCCGACGCCAGCGCGGCCGACGGCGGGGACCGGCCGAGGTCAGGAGGTCACCGGTGGGTCTGCCGTCGCGTCAGACAGTGCCGCCTGCTTATGGCCATGGGGCCGCTAACAAATGGAAGGTCGCGCTCCGCAGCCCGGTGCTGCGTTGTCGATGCGTTTACCGAGATGCGGGCGATTGGAGAGTGGCCCGGCGCGCGCCGGGTCAGGGCTGCGCCGCTGACCTGCCGGTCACACTGGCGCAGTTAGTGGCCGCTGGAAAGGGAGGCGTCTCGCAGAGCCGAGCTCTGATCATTGGGATGACAATGGATCAGCCCATTCAGCCCAATGATGAATGGCTTCATTGATGGCCCTGCGCAACACGGTGTCGGTGTTGCGTTCAACGCTCTTACCTCCAACCAGCGGTGACTGAATGCATCTACGTTGGTGAAGGAGGCCATGTGTCAGCCAGCCCTCTGCATCCAGCCATTCTGGCACTTCGAACCTGTTTCTGTGCAAGCAACACCACTTGACTCCGCTGTTCAGATGCAAAGGTTATACATTGACTGTTACATATACCATCCCACTGTTCTGCCGGTAAAGCGGCACTAGTCTCCGTTTCAGTTTGAGTGGGCTGTTCGCATTAAACACAATACAATAAGACTGCAAGATAAATCCCAACCAATCACCGAGCCACATTTGTTCAATGCGAGCAGGACCGATTTTACATAAGCTCCTCATTTCGAACATCTGTTGCGGATCAAAGCTGCACGTCAGAAGAGAAACTGATCAGTGTGCGCCTGTCTTCACCGGGCCACTGGAGTGAATCGAGCCGGGTGTCGCGTTTCGCCAAGCGTCTCTATTGCATTTGCACGAGAACCATGAGACACTTTCACTGTGCCGGATGGCTGCTTTTGTCGTCGATGCATAAACATAAAGTCTGCCTTTGTAATGGGTTTAGCTCCGTTCCAAATTATTGTTACCCGAGTATGCTCACTCGAGGGCAGGATTGCTTGATGTGACCTTGTGCTTTGAAGAAGACTTGTTAGCTGTTGTCACGCCTACATTCACAGCTTTACACGAGTTCATGGCTCCCTGGGTACCAGTCATCCTTTCCGCTAAGTAACAACTCTTCGCAGCGCTGACATGTCTGAGAGAGGGCGAGACGAGAGCTACCGACGCGGAAGCTCTGCTCCTATTTAGAAGCCCATCTATTTAGAGCGTTTTCCCGCGCGCTGGAGTGGCCCTCCGTCTGACGCCGCGGCCTTGGTTGCGGGCTCCAGCAGTCCGTGGTTTATGCAGTGTCCGGGGCGGCGGGGTGGGGCCAGTGTCTGAGCCCCTGTTCCGGGACCACCTGCCGACCGCGACGACGTCATGCGTCGCCCGGATCTGGGTCATTCCGGCCCCTCGCCTCCCCCTAAACAGTCGCGCACCTCCGCCTGCGCTCTTAGCCCGTCAGGTCAGGGTCGGTCGCCTCGGGTCTCTTTGCCAAAACGTGACGTCAATGGTGCAGTCTGGCCCCAATATGCCCTTGTTGTAGCGATCGATCGGCTGATAAATTGGCAATTACACCGCGCAGCGTGGAACACTGCTCGCTGCTGTCCGCCGCCCTGAGCTGCTGCGCGGAGACGCTGTCGGGGCAGACGGCACCTCCCGCCAGTGGTTTCGGCGAACGGGCCGTCTCGCCGCGCCCTGGTGGAGCTCGGCGCGGCCGCTATCTGGTCGGCGATCAAAACAGGAAAACTGAGCGCGGAGCGCAGCGATCCTCCGGTAATGACACCGTTCCGGACCACCAGGGTCCCGGCGCCGGAAACCGAGGGCTGAGAGAGCGGCGCGAGGCGCTCACTGCAGCGCATTCACGGCGCCCGGCCATCAGATCGGACCCCACTGCATCCTGAGCTGATTGGGACACTAAGATGTGATAAGCTGATAAGCTGTCGACTTAACATTTGGGCTGTTTTGTGCATGCATAACAGCCGAAAGCCGTCCAGATTCTTAGGTCTTAGATGCTTTTGCAACATGTTTTTAGGTTAGTGTATTTATGCCTCATGCGATACTGGAAGGAAACCTACGGCATGCACACGCTCACTCGTTAAAACTGTCGACATTGTTTAAATTAAATGTTATGTCGTCATTCATATGCATTGCGTTGATGCCCAATTGGTATTGAACCAATCATAGACCTCGGTATACAGATGCCTGTGAACCAATGCGTTGCTTGGTATCTTTGCACACTGATGGTAGGCATCGTGAATCATGCTTCTTCATTACGCCACAACCATCCAGGAAGAAGGAATGCACGAAAATTGTTCGTGTCGTTGTCCACTTAACCCGCGCACCGACGGGGGGGGGGGGCGGATATCCGCCCCCCCTGAGGTTTTTCGCGGATAGCGGGAAAACCGCGGCGCGTAGCGCCGCGAAATTTGGTACGACTATTCTCTCATCAATTTTACACATGGTGTGCAAGTTATACCCTCCTAACTTTTAAGGTCAGGTCACCAGGTCACTTTGAATGACCCAACCTCAAGTCACTTTTTTGCAACTTTGTCACCGTGCCAGAGCTACAGTAGATGTCGGAGGCCTTTGAAAGTCGCAGGATGTTATTAGGTCATTAGTAGCTACAATTTGTTTATCTCGGAATTTTGATATCGGTGACCTAAGGTCAGGTCAATTTCGCGACCTCCCCATTATAAGTCAATGGGGGAAAAATCAACTCCCTGTTTTTACCACTAAAACGGGTCGGAATGGCCCCATATACCATACATGACTTCATATACGATCAACCTTCACTACCTTGAGGTCTGTTTTGCTGTTGGGCAGCTGTAAGGTCATGTGGCGTCAGCAAAGGTCACCAAAGGTTTTTTGCCAATAACTCCGTACAGGAACAAGATACAGCCGCGCAGATGGTCTCATTGTGTTCAGCTCGTCAAGACGCATCGAATGATATACATGATGACCTCGAGGTCACGTGACCTGAGGTCAACCTTTGACCTTGACCTTTCGAGGTCAACATATATATCATTCGATGCGGATTGACGAGAGGATCACGATGATGCCCTTAGTTTGTTCCTATCTTGACTAATTCGAAAGTTATTCGAGAAAAACTATCTCCATATCTAGCGCCGCCATTTTGACTTTTTCGACCCCTGTGACGTCATCTTTGACCTGACCTGAAAATGACCTCAGTAAAAATTGTAGACCTTGTCCGTGCATATCCGATGCCGTTTACCGCTTGTCGCTATCTTGCTTCGTTCTCGAGATCTCAGGGGGGGCGGTCATCCGCCCCCCCCCCCCGTCGGTGCGAAGTTGGCGCAGACCCCCGTCGGTGCGCGGGTTAATGTTTCAATTTCAAATTATACTCCGCAATATAACCTAGTTCCTGCTTGCTCTCTGAAAAAAACTTTCCTCTTAATGCACACTTTTCTTTCATTAGATTATGACATAGAACTTGGAAGAACAGTCTAACCCGTACTATACAGCTACGGTGCCATGCTTACATCACTTCAATATTCATAAGTCAATGTTGAATGGCCCTCGAATGCCTAGTAGGCGTGTCTAGACCAGGAGGTGATGTGGAATATCGAACACGTGCAGGGTCATGCGACTATAATTTATTCCACCACGCCTGTCGGCCCTGAGAAAGATAATCTCTAGATACGTTGGTCTATTGCTCGCCATAGACCTTTCCAGAGCATTTGACCTGTCTGGCAGCGGCCGGTCTGTCTGTCGCCCGCCCTCAGCAGAGGTGATGACCTCGACCTGGCGCCCACAGCCGCTGCTGCCCTCTCCGGCGGCGCTGCGGACCACCATTCGCAGAGC